GAGTTTCAATTATTTCTATAGGGAATTAAATGCTCTACAAAAAAGGTCTTTATTTAAGGACGCAACTCAAAATAAGACGTTCATCAGAAAATGCGAAAAACTATTTCGTACCACATCATATGGGCAAGGGAGCCTTTACCTTAAGTTTCTTCAACAAATTATAACACAAATTTGCTCGAGCTTTTCCTGAAAGGTAAATAAAAGCCCCGTGTAAATTTTTAGTGCATAGTTTCAAAAATGCCAAGTTTTGAGTTGTGTCACTTTTGAAGATCGTGTGCGATATTTACCACTTTTGGTACTAAGTGATTGGTTTTTTAATGATTAAATTACGATTAAATTCAATTCGATTACACTTAATTATGATTAATTTAAATCTGATAAAACAGTTAATCGTAACCGTGATTAAAAAAAATGTATTTTTAATTTTTAAATAGATTTGGTGATTAATTAATTTATGCTGGAATTGTCCTATGCACATATGGCTAGTGAATGGGGTATGACTAAGTCGGTTTCCTCATCAATCTAATGGCGTTTTCTTTTCTACCGAAAATTGCTGCCTTTTCAGTGCCCTCTACGAACAAATAGTAAGGAGGGGGCAATGAAAAGGCAACATTTTTTTGTAGAAACGAAAACGTCATAAGCAATTTGGTGTGTATTTTCATTAAGATTTATTACCTACAGACGTTATGCAAACTAGGTTCTAATATCCCTCTGCACATGTGCGATGGGTTGTAAAAATTCTCAGCTTATGTAAAGAAACCATATAACTAGTTTGTTATCAGATTTTTTAAATAGGATTAACGATTAATAATTAAGATTAATTAATCGTAATTACAACCAACGATTAACGATTAAAAAATTTAATCGTCGCGATTAACATTTTAATCGTTAATAAGATTAACATTTTGCCAACACTAATATGTACATATATTTTGATTTACTTTCTAGCGCGAATACTATCTTCTAAACCTTCACTCGAAGCACACGAAGGAAAACATTTAAATATTAAGCGTGACCTCAAGGAATGTCCAATGTGTCAGAAAAAATATAGTCAAGAGTATTTAAAGAATCATATTCTAGCTGTACACAAGGGAGAGCGTAAATATACCTGCGATATATGCGGTGATTCATATAAAACCCAAGCACTGCTTGGACGTCACAAATTATTGCACACCAAGGAGCGCCCTTTGGCATGCCATGTGTGTGATAAGAGATTTACAGAACAATCTCACATCAAAGTACATATGCGAATTCATACTGGAGAACTGCCATTCGAATGTGATTTGTGTGGCCGCAGATTTAGAATAAGGGTACATCTCACTTATCATTTGAAACAACATGCCAACATTAAGCACAAATGTGAAGTGTGTGGTAAAGAGTTTAAACACAGCAAATCATTGAAAGACCACTCGTACCAGCACACTGGCGTAATGCCATATACTTGTACCTTTTGCGATTACGGTTCTCCAAAACGTGAATAGTAAGTATTCGAAAATTAATTTATGTATAAACATACATATGTTATATGCGGTAATTTTGTTTTATTTTATGCAGTTTTGTGAAACATATGATGAGCAAACACAAAATATCTATGACGGCTGATGAATTATTTGCTATGTTCAAGGCGAACACTGGTCGATCCCCTCATGTAAAACTAGCTGAGGAAATGGAAAAGATAAAAAGAAAAGTGCAGCCATAAAATTTATCAACCTAATGTACATAATAAGGCTGACTTC